GAGAGAGAGAGAAGAGAAAGAGAGAGGAGAGAGAAGAAGAGAGAGAGAGGAGAGAGGAGAGAGAGAGAGAGAGAGAGAGAAGAGAGAGAGAGAGAGGAAAAAAACATCCAGAGACGCTGCTGCCTGTCTGCGCCCCTCGCTCGCGCGCTCTCTCTTGCTCCCTCTCTCTTCGGCGCTCTCTCTCCCTCCCCTTTGCAAACCATTGGATTTCAACCTGCTCAGGATTCAGCACAGAGGGAAGGCGGCAGGCTGCCGGAGCAGCAGCAGCAGCGGCAGCAGCAGCAGCAGCCAGCCCCGCAGCCGCAGCCCAGAGAGAGACACCACAGCCTCAAGATGCACCACCCCGCCTGCTGGGTCGTCTTCTCCGCTACCACCGCGCTGCTCTTCATCCCAGGTACCGGGGACCACCGGCGTCTGCGGTGCCAGGAGATGCCGGGCTGAGCTGTTGGAGCTGGAGAGGAGGGGAGGATGGAGAGCCCAGGGGGGCAGGAGGGAGTGTGAGCTGCGTGCGAGGGAGAGAGGGGCCAGCCGTGTGCACGCGCGCACACACCCGCTCGCTCACACGCGCGCAGCTGCTTGCAGTGCGGGATCGGCCCACGGGTCCCCGCGACGCGATCCGGGGAGCTGGGTTCGAGTCTGCAACGCGCTGCGCGGCGGCGAGGCGCTGCTGGGACTGTGAAGGGGACCGGCTGGCATTTAACCAGTTGTGGTCCCAGGGGTAGGAGGAGAGGGGGCTGTCTTCTGGGGAGACCCGCAGGGTAGCCGGGCATCCTTCCTTCTCCACCGCGGTCTCTCTGCTCCAGGCTCTCCCTGTGTCTATTTTTTTCTCCCTGACTCTTCCTGTCCCTTTTCTCTCTCCCTCTCCTTCTCTTCCTTCAGAGAGTCTTCTCTCCTCTCTCTCTCTCTCTCTCTCTCTCTCTCTCTCTCTCTCTCTCTCTCTCTCTCTCTCTCCAGCTCCTTTCTTTCCCCCCTCCTTCTCCTTGGCTCTCGAATTTCAGGGTTTCACGCACAGTCCTTCCTCCAAGTCCCATCCTTTCTCTAGCACTCCACCAAATGGGCAGATGATGCGCTTGAAAATCAACATCCTCCCAGCTTCTCCCTTTGGCTCCTCAGGAGGGGAGCGGGGATGGCACTGGATGGCATTTGGGATGCTCAGTCAGAAGGAAGGCTGGGCTGATTCCCCTGGCTCTCCCCTCCTCCTCCCCCCTTCCGCCCCCCCCCCCCCCCCCCAGCTCCCAGCACCTTCCCTACCTCAGCTAATGATTTAAACGGGAGCCTACCTATCAGAGCAGCCCCTGGTTTGGGGGCAAACACATCCGCAGTGGCCCAGGTGAGGTGCTGCAATCCTCCCAGAGTAAGCTGAGCGGAAGTGTTGAAAACCCAACCGGTTTTAATAGATTTGCTAATTGCATGCCCGCTGTTCCCTCCAGCCATCCATGGCAGGCCTGCAGGCATCCCTCAGACAATGCTCCGGGGCTGGGCTAGGCTTGCTGAGGATGTGGAAAGCTCGGAAGGGTCTGTGGGGTTCTCGCATGGAACCCCAGCCCGGGAAAATGTTCTCTGCCCCTGCCCCCTGCCAACTGAGATACATGAATTCAGTTCAGCATGAGCTTAAACCTAAAATGCCATGTAGATGACATAAGTATTAAGATTCTGAAATCCTACATACCCTGATATAGGTAAAACACAGGGTTTTACATTTTTCCATTCAAAACACTTTTTAAAAAATGTTTTGCCTTTAGAAACATAAATCCTTGAGTATTTTGTAAAGGACCAAAGTGAAATCAGACAAATGGGAGTTTATGTGGGAGAGAGAGAGAAAAGAAGAAACCCGTTGCCTGTTTTGTAATGCTCTTTCTTTCTTTCTTTCTTTCTTTCTTTTTCTTTTCTTTCTTTCTTTCTTTCTTTTTTTTTCTTTTTGGAACGCTGCACTTTGTCTAGCAGAGATGGGCTCCACATAGCCATGGTCCCGGCTGTTTGTGTTAGGCCCAAAAGTTCAGAGTAGGGGTGCTGTCCCTGTCCTTCCAGATACAGGCCTGGGGAGGGGGTGTCCCTGGGGCAGGCAGGATAGGCAACGAACATGCAGTTCCTGCTCTCGCCTGTAGAGGGAGCCAGGTAGGCCACTTTGGGTTCCCAGTGTGAGGAGACACACTTGCCTGTGTGTGTGTGTGCCAGTCTGAGCCTGGGAGACAGACAGCTCCTGGGACTTCCTAGCCTCTCATTTCCCTCCTACCATGGCTCTGGGCACAGGGGAGCAGAATGATGGCGCTCAGGACCCCGCCCCATGGGATGCGGGGCCCTGTGCTTGCTCTCCCTGGAGCAGGAATCAGAACATTACCCTTTCCAGAAGCGGGCAGTGAGCCCCAACAGCCGAAGCTGCATTGCAGTACATCCTATGGAAGCAAAGGATCGGGGAGCTGCCTCCCTATAGAGTCCCTATGGCCCCCCAAACACAGTTCCACTCCGGCTGGTGGGGACCCTGAGAAAGGCAGTTACAGGAAAGCTGGCTGGGCCCAGGGAATGGCCTGAGCCTGCCAGCCAGTCAGCTGTCCCCAGAATAAAGCATTTCCTGTGAGGAGGGAAGGCAGGCCACCAGGGCGACCTGCTCCAGGACTGCTTATGCAGGGAACCTGGCCTCGGGGGTCTCCAGCAGAGGAGGGGAAGTTGGCCTTGAGGAGGCGCACCTGGGAGAGAAGGGGCATCACTTCTTGAGGGTTTCTGGGAGAGAGGGAACCTGGCTGCATCCAGAAGTTCTGGTCAGCTGCGAGGCTTACTTGGGACTTCTCCTCCCTCACTTATTTCACTTCCTTTATTATGGTTTCAGCTTCCCACCCCTCTTTGTAATCAAAGGGTGCTTTTTCTCCCATCTCGGTGGATACCCTCTCGTTAGCCATTCACTTTGCCTGTATCTAAAGGCAGAGGCTCATGTAATCAAGGGACCCTGGCCTGATTAGGACGCGATGCTGTCTTGTTCTGCAGCTTTCTGTTTCTTGGGAAAACACGTTTTCATCCCAGACTCATTTTAAGGCTAATGCTGTGGCCTTCCAGGGGAGACCGATGGTCACAGATTGCTTTTCTAGGCAGAATCTCTGGGATGGGAAAGGCAGCCCCAAGTGAAGACCCTAAGGAGCCCACACCCAAGATGGGGAGAGGGTCTCCCTTGGCAATTAGATTGTCACTTAGAAGCATCCTAGCTTAAGCTGGGGCTTAAGACACAAGCCCTGACCACTGAGAGTGAGGTTACTTCTGTTGTCCTGGGAGGGAGGACAGATGAGACTGAGAACTGGGAGCTTTGGGACCTTGGGCCTGGGGCTTTGTGGGGAGGTGAGTAGGTGGCTGAAAACAAACCTGGAGAAGCAGGAAGTGAAGTTGTTGGGCATTTGCATCAGAATCACCTGGGGGAGGGGCAGATTAAAACACAGACTTCTGCCCTAGCTGGTTTGGTTCAATGAATAGAGCATCTGCTTGTGGACCAAAGAACCCTGGGTTTGATTCTGGTCAAGGGATGTGCTGGATTGAGGGCTTGATCCCCAGTGAGGGGGCGTGCAGGAGGCAGTCGACCAATGATTGATATTTCTATCTCTTTCTCTCTCTCCCTTCCTCTCTGAAATCAATATATATAATTTAAAAAATATTTTTAAAAACAACAACAACAACAACAAAAAACCCATAGACATCTACCCCCTCTGCAGATATTTTTTATCAAGCAACAGGTCCTGGTATACAGCCTTTTGTCCTTCGGCTCTGAGAAATGGGAGGGTAGTAGCATGGGGTGGGATGGAAGCATTGCTACCTTTAGTGGCCAAGCACCGCCCCCCAAACAGCCAGTTCCCTGTTAGGAGGACTGAATCTCCAGCCTGGAGGGCTCCTTTTCTCTGGTGTGGCTCATTGCCCTCTTTCATCAGCTCATCCCACTGTGCCTTCTGTCTTGTGACTCTAACCAGGGAGCTAATGTTGAGGCTTCCCAGCTACCTGGACTGGACCAAACAATGTCCAGTCTGCGAGGCAGCATCCACAGCCACATCTGGGCCTCCCGTGTCTTGCTACGCATGGCACCATCAGGGTCAGCCAGCCTTGATGTGGACAGGCACTTCTGAGAGGGATAGGGTTTCTCTTCCCCAGCACACACCTGCTCACAGCCTCCTCCAGGGAAGTGCTCTGGACTGTGGGGTCTTTAGGCTGGATGGGTCTTTGGCTTTGGGGTGAGACATGGGAGAGGGTTCCAGGGATTCCTTCCTTCCCTTTTCCCCGCTCCCTAGGACAGTGTTGAGGAACCTGCTAAGGTTGCCTGGGTTTGCATGAGGGCTCCAGTAGGAGAATCATTCGCCACTGGGAAAAGCCTAGCCCTAGAGTGGTGGTAAAATACATGAACAAAGACTCAGAGTCCAGTTACGATCAAGACCTCATAATCTCTCTGCCCGTCATAGACCTGTGCCCTCTCTCCCCCAGTCTCCAAGCTGTCCCATGGCCCTTAATCCCTTAAAATGATAGACATGTTAATAAGGTCAGACCACTTCCTGTCAGCATTGACCGTGGGGCAGGAGAAGACTGGGAGAAGGAGACAGGTGTAGGCTGCCTTGGAAAAATGCTTTCAGTAGCTTGGAGCTGGGCACAGTTGCTCCAACTGAGATCAACCAGAGACCCAAAATGGCTCGAGGTTCTCTTGTATTGCTTCAGTCCTGCCAGCCTCTGGGCTTTCTCTCATTCTTAGCACCCTCTGCCCTGTCCTGTTGCCTGGGAGATGACAGGAGACTCCTTAAACAGTTGTCACTCTCCTGGGTTTGCTGTTTAGCAGGTCCAGGCCTCTCCTACCAGCCACCGGAAACCATACCTCACCCTGAGGCAGAGCTTCCCCTGGTAGAGGCTCTTGCCATGAGATGGGACTTGACTTGAGCCTCTGCTGCTGGCAGCAAAACTGAGATGCTCTGCCTGGGAGCTCTCTGGGCCTCAGTCTACCACTCCGTAGGATGGATCCCAGTGATGCATTCTTCCCATTTCCAGTACGACAGAGTAGGCAAAAGCATAGGGTAGATGATAACGAGATAAACATGTATGAATTTTTTTTTTTTTTACATACAAATGCACCCTGGTCTCCTAGTAACGGGGCAAAAAGGAAGGGGACAGAGGCAAAGCTGGACCATCCTGATTCATGCCTTTGTCACAGCGATGAAAACTAGCTGAACACAGACCCCCCCCCCCCCACGTATTTATTCAATAAGACTTTATATAGATTCCGATGAAGCATATACATTAGGTACATGTATATACATTATCCTGTCTCAAGAAATATAGATCCAGTAAAACAGGAAATTATTCAGTCTTTTTCTTTTTTTGGACCCCTATGAAATATGCATGCTAGCTCGGAGCTTCTTGGACAGTGGTTTCTCTGTGTAC